CGTTCCTGTGCTGGGGGGGAGGGGTCGCCAAATGTCGTCCCTGCTGTACCACAGGAGGGGGCTATGAACACATTCTTCGAATAGAGGAAGCTGCCTTCTTCCGGCTCAGACCGCTGGCCCACCCGGCTCGGCCCCGGCTACCTTGACCGACAGAAGTATTCCGATGTCTCAGGTTAAGAAAGGTCTTTCCCAGCACCTGGGATCATTTAGCTGGAGATGCTCGGGACTGAACCTGCAACCTTCTGCATGAAAGACGCGTGCTCTGCCACTGAACCATAGTCCTCCTTCCTTGCCTTCAAGAGCCGAAGGGCCCTGAAAAAAATTAAGCTACTAGACAGGCTTCCCACAACACTCCTATGCCTTCCGACAGAAGGTCCAATGTCTGCCGATATATGGCCAGTCGCACCGTTCAAAGGGATACACTGGGATTCCCCAACAAAGCCCACGCTACAGGAGATGAATGTGGAGGACTTCCAGAAGCATCCCTGCTACTCACAGAGTGTAGTCCCATTTGCACTATGACAGTCTCTGAAAACCCACTTTCCCTCTGCCCTGTCTTTGTGGTGCACTGCTAACGTGGATGTTTTGATCCTTTGGGGGCTTGGGAGTCAATGGCTCCTTCCCATGCCACAGTTTCTGACCCCCCGCCCACCAAGACCACTGATGTGACTGCAACAGACAGCCAGGTCTTCAGGCTGGTGCTGCTGGGGTCCTCCTGAGATTCTCCTCTGGCATGCAGATGTGCACTCTGGCTAGCACCGCTAAAGATTAAAAACAGTAGTGCCAGAATAAAGATGCCCCGGAGTATCACAGAGGGACCAAACAAGTCAGAGAGTGACAAAACATTCCTCTCGGCCTCTGGTTATGGATTTAAGAGGGAGCTGCAGGTTTGCACGCAGGATAGATAGGCTGGCTCCCCCTATCAAAATCTGTGGCTATTAGCCACAAGGTATAGATAGGGGCTCTGGGGCAAGTGATGGTCTGTATTCTTGGTGCTTGGGTGGGGGGCAACAGTGGGAGGGCTTCTGGTGTCCTGCCCCCACTGATGGACGTCCTGATGGCACCTGGTATTTTTGGCCACTGTGTGACAGAGTGTTGGACTAGATGGGCCATTGGCCTGGTTCAACATTGGCTTCTCTTATGTTCTGATTTTAAGTCTCGCACAGATTTGGATTTTAGACACTGTAGAATGCACAAAGCACCCTGATATTGAGTTGGCCCTCCCAACCCAGTATGGCCCACATTGGCTGGCAGTGGATCTCCAAGGAAGGGGATCTTTCCCACCCCTGCTGCTTGAGAGGTGAGAATCAAGACCCTTCTGCATCCAGCACAAGAGCTTTCCTACACAGTTCAGGCCCTTTCCTGGTTTTAGGCTTAGTTTTTGGAATTTTACTTTATGTGATGGGTTTGGCTTTTCTTTGAGATTTACTGGTTTATGGCAGGTGCAGCTAGTATCTGTCTCCTCTCTCTGAGTCCCTGAAAATATATTTTGCTGTGCACAATGACTCCCTTACAAACTAAACTATAAGGCTTCAGAATGAAGATGGCGCCACCTGGTGGCCATGTCGTTGCAGTTATGGAGGAAAAATACTTTATCCTGGCCAAAATCATAGATATAAAACCTGGACGAGAACCATACATGCTAACATTTCTCTTCCCTGTACGTGTAAGTATACCCTTTAGAGTGTTGAACCAGGGCTGGAAAGACTTGAGTTCGGGTTTTCACACTGTCATGAGCTTACTGGGTGAACTTGAGCCAACTGTGCTCTCTGGCCTTCTCTCTGTCAGCCTCATCTCTCTGTCACTCACAGGGTTCTTGAGAGGATAAGGTGGTGCAGGGAGAGCCATGTATGCTGCTCTGAAAACTTTGAAGGATGGAATAAAATTCAGAGATAGCAAAATGGTGAGTTATAGATTTTAAGAGTGACCCTGATCATATTAATGAAGCAAAATGGTGAGTTAAAGATTTTAAGAGTGACCCTGATCATATTAATGATTCTTAATTCATAAGTCTAAAAACTTAAGTTTAAAGTTTAGAATACCAGTTTATTTTATGATTCAGGCATCTTTTGTATGGTCAAATCTAGCTTGTGACAACTTGAGTTAGGCCTGGCATAGCCACGACTATCTATTTTATAATTTCTTTTGGATTGTATTATTGGTAAATGCTTCTAATATTGTATGCCAATAAAAGGTATTTGAATTGAATTGAGTTATAGATTTTATTAGGCGCTGATTCACATTTGATATGTCACCCAGAGCCAGGTAACAAGTATTCTAAGGATCACTTCTGGCTCACAAGCCACCAACCAGCCACCCCTATTTGACATTAATAAAGTAAAATAATATGCTGTCAAGCTGCACCTGACTCATGGTGACTCCATCTACAGGTGTTCCAGGCAAAAGATGAGCAGAGGTGGTTTGCCTTCTTCTGCGTAGTAACTGGAGTTTTCCTTGGTGGTCTTCCACCCAAGTACCAAATGTGGCCAGCGCTGCTTAGCTCCCATGCTCTGATGAGCCCAGGCTAAGCTGGGCTATTCAGGGTGCTCCTACATTTGTGTGCGCTAAGTGCCATCAAGTCACTTCTGATGTATGGCAACCCTATGAATTAATATCCTCCAAAACATCCTATTGTTAACAGCCTTGCCCAGGTCTTGCAAACTAAGCACTACAGCTTTATTCGTGAGTCGCTAATAGGAATGGGCACGAACCTTGCCACGAACCTAATTCGTCACGAACATGGCCTGTTCGTGAGGCCTCAGTTCATGAGATTGAGCCTGCAACGAACCTCCCACAAACCTCCATGGTTTTTATGGATGTCCGTGTGGTTCATGCCGGCTGTTCCTGTGGCAGATGCGCTGGGGCCGATCAATTGATTGTCAAGGCAATGCGGGGTGGACTTCTGCAGACCTGGAAACACCAATAGTGGCCGTCCAAACTCCAAACAAAAGAGGCCCGTGTGGGACCCGGGGCATGGAGGAAAGCATGAAAGAGCCTGGGTTGGGGGTGGAAGGAGATGAGGGAGAAGCGGAGGAGGGGTGCATGGCGGCACAGGAGAGAGAGGAGGCAGAGATCTAATGCTTGGGGAAGAAAGAGGAAAGAGATCTCCTTTTTGCAGAAGCAGCAGGAACTTTAGGAAACCGGCCCATGGGGCAGTCGGAGGCCAAAAGGGGGACCCCAGGAGGCCTGGAAGTCGAGGATTGCAGGGTTGGAAGGAAAAAGGCGGGGGGGGGATCTCTTTTTGGTAGAAGAGGAGTGTCAGCTGGAGACTTGCCACAAGTTTGGTGTCTCTAGCCCGCAGGCGGGCCATTCTACCGCATCATGAACCTCACAAGATGAACCGGTTCAGTAAAGGGAAGGTTTGTGGTTCATGGGATCTCACAAACCACGAACCGGGACGAACCTCCATTTTCCCAGTTTGTACCCATCCCCAACTCAACTGTTTTCCCTCCATGTGCAATAATCAGTGCTACCACTAGATGGCACTTTGAGACCATAAGAGGAATGGTGGGTTTTTTGGTATTTTTAATGTGATTATTTTCAAAAGTTTAACAGGTCAAGAAAGTTAGCAGAAGGTGAAAGAAAGATATTTAGGCATTATCCCAGAAGCAAGGTGATACGCTGCCTAGGTAACGAGGAAACGGGCACTGAGCTGCTGCAAACAGTAAAAGGAATGCCTGCTTAGCAAAGAGATGTACAGGAAAGCATCTCCCTTCAGCCTTTTTTTTTACAAAAAAAAAAATTAAATGGCATGAAGGAGAAGGAGACTCCTTTGTCGGGAAGGAGTCTTTCCAAGAAGGGCTCTTTAAAAAATTGGCATGCATGTCTTCATTAATTTTATGTCAATGTCGCCATGTCGCGGTGAGCAGTAAGTGCCCGCAGCTAAATAAGCAATAAGCGCTATTTTTCAAACACGCAAACGCATAAAGATGTCAGCTCAAACTGTTTACTAATTAACACTTAAAAAGACACAAATTAGATATGCGTGGGTAAGAGCAATTATAATCAAGACAAATTTCTCCAGTCATTTGGGATTGGAGGGGGGGGAAGGTAGAGGGTGGGGAGGAACCCCTCCCCCGAAACTCCCAGCTAATCGCTGGAATCAACATTTTTTTTAAAAAAGAAACCTGAATGCTTGCCAGTTAGCAAATATCTTCGTTTAAAGACCATTACACGTGACTGTGCTCTGGAGGGTTGGTTGCTAAAAAGGAGAAGCAAGGGAGATTAAAGAAGAAGAAGGGGGGAGAAAATACCTCCCCAACCAACTTGGAAATCGGCATAACATTAAGCCTTCCAAGTTCTTCCTTGTTTATAGTTCCTTTGTTTAAAAGGCTTGGGAAGACACTGTTGCCGAAATTAAGCAGTTAAACAAACACCTCCCTTGTCAGTTTTAAGAGAGTGATTAATACTGAACATTCGCACTGCTAATTAGAACCTCCCAGGCCTCTTCCAAGCAGAGAATCTCAGAATGGGCTGCCTGGAAAAGGGAACCGAGGCTGTAGGAGGTTCTGTAGGACTTGAAACAAGACACTCGCCACCTGAGGTTGACAGAGAGTCAAGGGTGGCCACGGGGCCCCCTGCTGTGGTGCCCCCAGGCCTGGCTGGAGAGAGACCCCACGTTTCTAGCCCTTCTGGATGAAAAGATTACCCAGCATGTGTGAAGACAAGTCTTGGTGAAGCTTGAGAAGTTTCAGGAGGCCCTGAATAAGATTTCCAGAAGGTTTCCTTGCTCTAAAGTGGCTTTCTCAGACCTCCTTGGTGACTACTGACCCCAGAATACATGATGCAAAACAATAAAAATAAATTGGAAAAATAAATTATGCAAGAGAGTTATAATTTATAAACAATGAAGGATTTGGCTTTTAAAAGAAAAGAATGCTTAAGAAAAAATTCGGCATATGCTGAGACCTCATTGCAAGGGAAGAAATTCTTATCCAACCATCCAAGGCACAGGGATACTGAAGGGATGAAAGACAACGCTCCCCCCCCCAACGACTTACCTCCTTTTCAATTTCTGCCAAGGATTTAATGGTGATGCCCAGGAGATCGACAGGCTGCATCTAGAAGGGAAACCCACAAACATCTAATATAAACCAGAGAACAATCAAGGCAAACAAATCCTCTCATTTCTAGCATTCACTAGCCCATCGGCAAAAATAACTGGATAATGCAATTCCACTCATGCTGTCAGAACGCCACATACTTTCTTAGGGAGGCGCCACCACAATGACAATGACAATGGCTTCTTCCTAAAGAAGACAGGCGTGCGAACGCCATCTTTTCCGTTCTGGGGATAGCGGGACACTTATATGTAAAAGGGTCATATTTTTGACAGAGGTTCCTGTTGCCCACTCTTAAGTCCACTGCTGTCCGCAACTGCACATCATGTCGCTCCTCTCAAAAGTGCAGGTTGAAGTGCCACGGAAACCACTGCTGCGCCTGCATGTGCAACTGGCTGAAATGCACTACAGGGTATGTATCAAGGCGCCCTTTTTGGCTGCCTACATAATTGGTGGGTTTTGCTAAATGTTCTTTGAACAACTGTACTGATCTGGTTTTTCAACAAATGTCAGCCATGCGTATGCAAAGCTGCCTTATACAGGGTCAGACTATTGGCTCTTCTAACCTAGCTCGCGACTCCAACTGGCAGTGGTTCTCCAAACAGCCAGAGCAGAAGACTCACTCAATGTCTGCACAGATTCCTCTTTAACCAAAGATACCAGGGGTTGAATGGGTGACCTTCTGCATGTAGAAGCCTGTGCTCTACCACTGAGATAAGCCTCTCCTCCCGTACAGCTATTTTAAACTCCCTAGTAGGCCAGCTGGGTCAAGAGACAGCCTAGAATTCTATTAATGTTTCATGCCTGCAAAGGCAGGCTGCAGTAAGACCGCTCTGTCAAGAAACTGGTGATTGCTCGTAGGCCACTAGAAGAGGCAGTATGAAGATCAAGGAGTTTTACATGCACGGTTCTCTAACAAGCACCAAGCTGAAAGTTCAAGGCCAAAGCTTTCACAGCTTAAAATGTGAACTTTTGGGGATAAAGTTTGAGTCCAGTGGCACCTTTAAGAAGAGAAGAAGAAGAGATTGGATTTATACCCCACCCTTCACTACCGAAAGGAGTCTCAGAGCGGCTTACAAACTCCTTTCCCTCCCCCTCCCCACAACAGACACCCTGTAAGGTAGGTGGGGCTGAGAGAGCTCTGACAGAAACTGCTCTTTTTCAAGAACAGCTCTTATCAGAACTACGGCTTGCCCAAGGTCATCCAGCCAGGTACAAGTGGAGGAGTGGGGAATAAAACCCAGTTTTCTCAGATTAGAGTCCAAACTGGCTTTAAAACCAACAAAGTCTTTATTCAAGGTATGAGCTTTCATGTGCATGCACACTTGCTCATATACACGCAGAAGTGTGCGTGCACATGAAAGTTCATACCTTGAATAAAGACTTTGTTGGACTTAAAGGTGCCACTGGACTCAAACTTTGTTCTGTTGCTTCAGGACCAGCTTGGCTACCCACATGGATCTAACTGCTGGGGATGTATGTGTAAATTTCCAGAAAGCCACCTCTACCCACTTATTCCGCTGCCCTTCTGTGAAGTGCTTTCCATTATTTTGGGGTCTCTCTCTCAGACACAATCTTCCTGTCTCTATTTTCAATCAAAAGAACCCTCTCCCGCTTTTGAAAACTCACTCCAAAAGGAGAAAAACAGGTTGCTTACCTGTAAATGATGATTTTCGAGTGGTCATCTGTGCATTCACACCCATGGGATACAGTGTGCATGCGCTGGATCAATCGGCATTGTAGCAAGCTCTTAACGGATTTTCGCGCCCAGACCTCGGGCATGCGCAGGAACCCCACCACGCATGCCCAGAGGAGGGGGCGCGGACATCCCGCCAGTTCCCTCGAACTGCCGCGAATCAACCCCTATGGAATATGTAGAAGCTGACAGCAGTGGGGAAGGAGGGCGGATGGTGTGAACGCACAGATGACCACTCGAAGATCATCAGTTACAGGTAAGCAACCTGTTTATCTTCGACGTGGTCTCTGTGCTTCACACCCATGGGAGATTAGCAAGCAGTAGCCTACTTGGAGGAGGGTGCTGGCAGGTCTTTTACTGCGTAGCCAAAGACAGAATGTGACGTCCCATGTTGGTATTCGCGTTCTTACAGACGTCTAGGGCGTAGTGCCTTATGAAGGTATTAGGCGTGGCCCACGTAGCGGCTTTGCAAATGTCCATCAGTGGCACTCCCTGGAGGAAGGCAGTGGAAGTCGCGACAGGCCTGATAGAATGAGCCCTGATAGGGCCAGGCAATGGCTGTTTGGCAATAAGGTAGCAGAGGTGGATGAGACCCGCAATCCACCTTGATAGGCGGTGAGCCGTGATGCGAGTGCCCAGCCTTGCTGGCGCATAGAAGATGAAAAGTTGAGAGTCACGTCTCGTTGGACGGGTTCTATTTAAGTAAAACAGGATTGCACGCTTCGTATCCAACGTGTGTAACAGCCTCTCCTCTGAGGGTGTCGGTGCCGGGAAGAGATCCGGGAGGAAGACCTCTGCCTGTAGGTGAAATTCTGACACTACCTTTGGCAGGAACGAGATGTCAGGTACGAGGCGGATGCCGTCTGGCAAAAAAGACAAGTAAGGAGTGTCATGTCTGAAAGCCAGTATTTCTCCAACTCGCCTTGCTGAAGTGATAGCAACCAGAAAGGCCGTTTTCCACGACAGGAATTTTATGTCGCAAGTTGCGAGTGGCTCAAAAGGTTTCCTGGTGAGTTGGCGAAGGACCAGGGGAAGGTCCCAGGGGACGACAGGAGTTTTGATGGGAGGGTAAAGGTCCCTTCAAAAAACATTTAGAAAGTGGATGCGAGAACAGTGTGCATCCCTCAACTTGAACATGGTAGGCCGAAAGTGCGGCCAAATAAACCCTTAACGAGGAATGTGAAAGTCCCGAGTCAGCGAGAGACAGGAGGAAATCGAAAACTTTCTCGAGACCTGCGGAGGTGACTCGAGGGGCATCGTCACCCAAAGAGGAACAGAATTTTTGCCACTTGAAATGATACGACTTTCGTGTAGTGGACTTTCTGGAGTTTAGCAAGACATTTGCTATGCAGGCGGAAAAGCTGTTGACGCTGCTCTCCAGGCTGTCAACTTCATTCGTGGCACGTTGTGGTATAGGAGGGGGGACTCGGTTAGGAAAAGGAGGTCTTGTGCTGGAGGAAACTGGTGGTAGACCCCTCGCTGACAGATTGAGGATGGTTGAGAACCGTGGATGCCTTGGCCACCATGGGGTTATGAGGACGCAGTCTGCTCTGTCGCTGATGATTTTGTGAACCACTCTCAGAAGCAGAGGCAGTGGAGGGAAGAGGTAGAGAAATCTTCTGGACCACGGATAGAGGAGACCGCCCCCTAGAGACTGGGTCCCTGCCACCTCGGGTGCAGAACAGAGGGCACTTTTTGTTCGCCCTGGTGGCAAAAACATCTATCTGGGGGAACCCCCGCCTGTGGAAGAGTGGAAGAAGGTACGTTGGATTCATTTCCCACTCGTGGAGACTGAGTCCTGCCCGACTCAGGTGGTCTGCCTGTACATTCATGAGCCCTGGGATGTGCGTGGCGACTAGGAAGAAGTTGTGGGCGATGCAGAAGTCCCATAACTAGAGGGCGAGGTCGCAGAGGCATTGGGAGACAGTGCCCCCTTGCTTGTTCACATAACTGAGGGCAGTAGTATTGTCCATGAGGACCGTGACACATTTCCCCTCGATCAGGGGTAGGAAACTGGTGACAGCGAACTGTATTGCAAGCAGTTCCAGGAAATTTATGTGCCGATTTCATTTCTGAGTCCCATCTGCCTCCGACACAAAGTCCCATCATGTGGGCGCCCCAGCCTGAGAGGGAGGTGTCTGTCATTAGGGTCATTTGGGGTGATGGAGGATGGAAGGGTGTTCCCTGGAATAGGTTGGAAGGGACAGTCCACCAAAGTAAAGAGTCCCGTACCTTGACAGGTGGGAATAGGAGGGTGGTGTGTGTGTCTCTCTCTGGATTGAAACTGTGGATAAACCATAGTTGCAGGTGACACATTTTTAACTTGGCAAAAAACAGGACTGATGTAGTAGCAGCCATGAGGCCAAGTAGCCTTTGTATTTGAAAGGCTGTCACTGAGGGCCGGGTACGGATGACACTGGCTAGGTTGATGATGTCGGCTGCCCTGTTTTGTGGCAGGTAGGCTGTGCAAATCGTGGAGTCCAGTAGCGCACCGATGTAGTGTATTTTCTGGACTGGTTGAAGTTGAGACTTTTCCAGATTGACTTGTAGACCCAGGTTTTCCAGGAGGACCAGTTTCTCGTTGATGTTTGAGACTAGGGCGTCCCTGGAAGTCGCTACCAAGAGCCAATCGTCGATGTACGGGTAGACGGAGATACCCTTGAGACGAAGAAAGGCCGCGACCACCACCATCGTCTTTGTGAAGACTCTTGGTGCACTTGAAAGGCCGAATGGCAGGGCTGCATATTGGTAATGATGTCGACCAATTGCGAAGCGTAGGTATTGGCGGTGGGACGGGTGGATGGTGAGGTGGAAGTACGTGTCTTGGCGGTCGAGGGTGGCCATCCAGACATTTTTCTGCAGGAGTGGCATAATCTGCTGTAAGGACACCATGAGGAAGCGGTGGTAGCTCACAAAGCGGTTTAGCGCCCGTAGATCTATTATCGGTCGAACGCCTCCGTCCCGCTTTGGAACAGTAAAATAGTGGAAGTAAAATCCCAGGAGTGGTATAATCTGCTGTAAGGACACCATGAGGAAGCGGTGGTAGCTCACAAAGCGGTTTAGCGCCCGTAGATCTATTATCGGTCGAACGCCTCCGTCCCGCTTTGGAACAGTAAAATAGTGGAAGTAAAATCCCTTGCCGTGTAGATGCAGTGGCACCGGGTCGATGGCTCCCTTTTGCAGAAGGATGGACACTTCTTCCAGGAGGGCTGGAGAAGGGGGTGTGGAGACGAAGACAGGAGTGATGGGGTTCTGAATGAATTCTATACGGTAGCCCTAGGTTAAGATGGACAGCACCCATTCA